CCCTCCCTCTCACTCTCTCTAAAAAAAAAAATCAATGGAAGAAATATCCTCAGGTAAGGATTAACAAGAATAAATAAATAAATAAAATGATTGCATATATATGCATATTATCACAGGCTGGAAGAAAATCCACAACACTGATAATTATATTAAAGAAGATGTGTGTAACATTTCTCTGCTCTAAATCTTTAGAGTTTAGTTTAATAAATAATGTGCTGAGGACTTGCTATATGTCAGGCATTGTGCCAGGTCCTAGGAATACTGGAAAAAGTGACAATGTGTCCACAGGAGAGAGGACTGTGGGATGTGTGCTGGCTGGATGCTAAGAACAAGGATGCTGCTGGAGCACAGGGAAGGCCTGACCCCAAAGTGAGGGGCAGGGCCCGAGGGAGGGATGCTTGGAATGTGGTTCTCTTGTTTTTCTATCAAGAACAACAATAATGAAAGATATTGGGAGTCCCATCTGCATTGGTAGCCCTGAGGAGGGAGATGAATGTGGAGAATTCAGAGTCTATAGAGCATGGGCGGCTGGTGGGCTGAGCTTTAGGGCTCAGTCATGGTCTGAAACAGTATGGGGAGGGACTGGAGTTACATTCCAGGAAAACCTGTGGGTGGTGTGTGGAGGGACCTGATGGATCCCTTGGAGAAGAGAGGGAGCTGGGAGGGGGGGGGGAACGTTGCCATCATTGGTGTCTGAACGCAGGCCCTGGAGGGGAACACAGAGGCCCTGGCCAGGCCACGTGGAGTCCTGGAGCCCCGGGCACAGTCGTGGATGGTTCAGCCTTACATCCTCATCGGGACTGTCAGGCTGAGCAGGGCCCCTGGAGCTAGTCCCAATCTGTTTCCTTCTATTCTTTGACAGGAAGCTCCTGGAGAGCCAGCCCCCAGCCCCTCCCCCTCCCAGCACTCCCTCTCTCTTCTCCACTATGGACAGAGCCTCCACCGAGCCGCTGCCTGCCCACCCCAGACCCAGCTGACATGGGGACTGTTGGAGCAACGCAGCTGTGCTGGGTGATCCTCAGCTTCCTCCTACTCCAAGGTAAGAGGCACTTGCCACCCTCCTTCAGCAGTTCCCTTCCCAGGGCTGGCAGTCCTGGGCACCTGTCCCTCCTCCAGGACACACATCCAGCTCTCCAACCAGGGCTGTGTCCAAGGGAAATTCCAGAGCCTTTTACGAAAGAGATCAGTTAGGTTGGGAAGTAGACATTGCCAGGCAAGGGTGAAATAGCATATGATTAAACCTTTTTGTGGGAAAATTTCCAGGGAGATTTGGGGCTTCCATAAAGTCTGGTCTCCTGAAATGTGGGAAGTGACTGTCTTGGTGTGAGAGCGAGGCCTGAAAGCTCCTTCTGGGGTGTTCTAGCACAAAATTGTCTGAACCTTGGGCTTTACAGGTGATCTTTTTTTCTTCTTCCATATGGGGAGTAACAACCTGGGAATTCCAAATACTGACTTTAAGCTCACAGCAAGAGGGATTCAAGTTAGATACAAGGAACTATTTGCCAAAGAGGAAGTAATCAGCATCCTCACCCAGGGGCCTAGATGAGATGGTCTTCAGAGGAGATAGCTTGAAAACACCTCTCAGACAGGGCTCTGCTAGCTGATGAGTGGAGAAGCAGCTCATAAGGGGTGCTCTAATTAGGGAGCAGTTGCTGGGAACCATGAGAAATCCAAGAGCTTCTGACTCACAGGGCAGCAACTTCCCTTCCCCACCCCACCCGCTCCTCACCCTCCATGAGTCCTCTGTGGAAGATTCATGGCCCTGTGCTCAAAGCAGCAGAAGAGAGTGCAAGAGTGCTTGGATGGAGAGGGATGATGCCCTTTCTTGGTGGTGGGTGGGAAGGCCTGAGTACCAGAAGACTCTGCTACCTGGTGCGGTCAGACATTTCTTTAAAAGTCTATGGGTTGGAAATAAAACTCTGATCACATACACCTCCCCGCCCCCTTCCCAGAGGATAGAGTCACACATTTGATCTGGGGCTAGGGGGCTAGGCTATTGCTGAAACTGCAGAAATGGCAGAGAAGATTAAAAGGTGAGACTTATGGGGTGGCATTTTCATAGGCCTAGGTTTCTCTCAGCTTCCCTACCCACTGCCCTCACCTGGATGAGTGCCAGGGCTAGGAATGCCCTGTGTAAACTCTACATAAGCCATGCTCACCGCTTGAGTTTCCTAATCTGTTATCCAGTATCTCAGAGCACTTACTGTCTCCTTCATTTTGGTGGACTGAGGAATCCCTTTGAGGATGTGCAGACCCACAAAGGGACTTGACCATAGATACACAAATCAGAGCAGACTTGAGACTTGGAGGATTTGAGAGAATGGGGCAAAATTTTAAATGTCTAGCACTTATTGTGCATGGACTCTCTGTAGGGCACTGTGTTAAGTACTTTATATGCATTTTCTTGTGCTCACAACCACTTGAAGAGAAGACTAAAGCCCAGGTCAGTAAGTAACAGAGTCAGGACTTGAACTCAAGCCTGTCGGGCTCCAAAATCCATGATTTTAACTACTAAAGTATGCTGCCAAGGAAAACAGGATGGTGGTGATGGAGGGGGAAGAAAGAGAGGCTAGACGGAAATGAAGCAGGTAGGGATTAGGAGGGGAGACAGGAAAATAAGAAATCCCAGTGACCAGTGGCCTTTGGTTGTCTGCATGTCCAGTGGTCAGAGGCACCCTGGCCTGTGAAAAAGCAGTTGCTCCTTAAATCTCTCCTCTACTCACAGAGGAATCTCCTAGTGACAAAAGGTTCCAGTAGGGGGAGGGGGCAGGTGACAAAGAGCAGGCTACTGGGAATTGGAGCTTGTGATTTTTAACTCTTTCCAAGACACTAGTTTTGTTTTTAGATAAATGTAGGAAGACAGGCACTGTGCCCTCCCACTAAAAACTAAAGTTATAACCTTTTAGAGCTTAAATAGTACCTTAGATACCCTTCACCAACTGATAGGTGTTTTCAGGACATTCCTTGGATTAAAAAGGCCATTCCCCAGCTGGGAAAAGTTCTCTCTAGCCTGGGGCACTTACAAGTTTTAACTCCCCTCGTGGCCCCCCCACCCAGTGAGGGAATGAAGTTGTCAGTGATGGTGACCTGGAAAAACACAAAACGGCTTAGGGTTTGGGAAAGCATGGGCTTGGAAACAATTAATTCCACATTATCCAAGTGATAGCCCCAAGGAGGAAGGCAGTGGCAAAGGAAAACAAACAAACCAGCAGGCTGCCACAGGCTGGGCAGTCCCCTGGCCCCCAGCCGCCTCTGTTCACCCAGCCCAGGCTTGGTGCTTCCCTGATGATGGGGGCCCAGCGAGCGGAGGGCCAGGCCAGCACTGCGGTCCCAGCGCCAGCGGAGGGACGGGAACCCAGCTGGGCGGGCCACTTCCCCACGTTTTCCTTTCACATTGTTCACAGGTTTCAAGAATGATTTCATTGTGGAAAATGAGCGAACACAACCTGACCTTTGAGGTCCCACAGACACAGGGGACACATATTCGGGCACACAAGCACACACACACACCTGCATAGAGGCTGACAGGCAGACACGTGCATGTGGTTACAAAACAGTCTAGTGAGGGCTTCTTACTGGGGCCTCCTAGTAACCTCCTCCCTGGGTTGACCAACAACAGCCGTTACTAAGAAGCCTCCATCTGTGAGAGTAAGCTGATCACCCGTTCTAGGGCTTCCCTGTCTCCTGTGTGTATCTCAGAACTTGCTTCCTGTGCGGGCCCCTACGTCCAGCTGGAGGAGGGCACAAAGATGCCCAGCTACCAACCCCACCCCTTAAGTCCATCTTGTTCATCACATCTTCCCATCCCCTTCCCTTAGGGCGGGACTAGGATGACAATATTCACAGGGTAAAATGGATGGCTCAGGGGTAGCGGAGTGCCAACATGAGCTTAGAAACCTGGAGTCCTTGTCTAGCCTTGGCAGGTCACTGGCCCCCTGGCCTTGGACATATCACTAGTTTTAAATAACCTTCCCCTGATGTTATGTCTGGTTGGTATAAAACCCATGCAGGATCGAAGAGACAGGAAAGGACTCAGGGACACTGAATCATGAGATGGTGGTGATGGTGCTATTCAGTTACAGTCTCGGAGGTAGCCAGGCCCTAAGCCAGAGCCACATCCTTTAGCCCTCTGTCAGCATGGGAGACTTGGGAAGTTAAAAGGCCTGGATTTTTCTGGTGGGCCGTGTGCTGGGCAGAAGACTCACAAAGCTAGTCTATGCATTTTGCTTTCTCTTGCAGGCCACAGCTCTCAGCCCACAATAATGCAGCCCTCTGCCCCTCAGGGAAATACCAAACACATGGCCTCCTCCAGCATTTAGGTCTGGGAGCTTAGTGAGGGCGAGAGGAGCTCTAGGCCATGTTTTGGACAGATCTCAGGTGATTAGAGATGGGGCCAGAGCTCTCACTACATCCAAGGCTGTGCTCATATCTAGGGACTTTTTTTCAGCTTGGCCCAGTCTAACCTGCCTGGAAAGAGGAGAGAGGTGAATTGTTGCAGGTGAGGGATGGGGTAGGAAGAAAGACTAGAAAACACCAGGCATAGGGAAGAAGAGAGGGAGTCAGAGTAATAGGAGGCATCAGACACTCAGCATCAGATGATCTGTTTCAGGAGCCTTCAGTCTAAGTCTGACCATACAGTCAACTTCTTCCAACACAGGTGAATGAGTGTGGTTGCTGAGGAGCCAATCCCTGCCCCTGCCCAGCCCCTTGCCTAGCCCTTCAGACTTGCTTGCAGCCCAAGGGTCCTCATATGGATTAGAAGTGTGGTGTCATCAAACCTGCCGCTCCTCCAACCCCCCCTTTGCCTCTGTCCTTGCAGGAGACAGGCCTTCCTCAGAGCCCACCAGCCCAAGCCCTCTGTTCAGTGCCCGTACTCCAAGTACCCTGCCACTGAGACTGCAAATTCCATCCAGGGGGAACCCAGGAAGGAAGCAGACACAGTCTCTGATCTAAAAGAGAATACAGACTTGGGGGGAACAGACAAGTACATAAGACCTCAAACTGACAATTACAAACAGGGTAGAAGAGTTGTGATGGGCATAAGTAGAAGATGCTGTTGGAGCCCAGACAAATGCCAGCCACTTGGGGGTCAAGGAAGACATCCCAGAGTGAATGAGCTCTAAAGCTGAGGCCAAAGAAGGAGTTAACCAAATGAAGACTGTGGGGTGAAAGGTGGTAGGGTGTATTCCAGGCAGAGGAAACTGTACAGGTAAAGACCCAGAGGTGAAAGAGAGGATGGCTCCTACTGGAAGTGAAAGTAGTAATTGAAAAGAACAGTTGTGGATTAAAGAGCCTTCCCTGTGTACATGTTGGTTGCCCACACATGCTTCCTAATCCACAGCCACTCCAGAGAAGGCCTCACAGGTCCCCACAGTACCCAGTAAACCTGTGATGTCAAGCTCAAGCACCATGGATGGCCACTCCCCATCCCAGCCACAGCAGCACACATCAGGACTTGGTTAGTATCTGGGGCTGGTGGTAAAATAAGTGGTCATGTCTGGCTGGGTTCCTTCTCCTCTTCAGGGGGCTCAGGTTCTGCCCCACAGTGAGGGGTCTCAAGGCCAGGATCCACATCAGCGACACCCTGGTCTGCAGAGAATAAGAGAGGTTTGGTGGGGAGTAGAGGCAGGAACTTGGGCCTGGTCACAATGAAGGTAGAAAGTCTGGACTCGGGATTGATAAAGGCATAGAGAGAAAAAGGGAGGGTTAGGAGAACCCAAAATAATGGAAAGGAAGGCAGAAAAGGTTGGGAAAGGGTTACACGCTTCTCAGGGAAGGTTGGTCTTCACCCAGCAGCGTGGGAGAAGAGCTGGGCGGGGTTGGACACCCTCCACCTTGGCCTGCTGTTCATGGCACAGGCACAGGTGTCCCAAGCAGCAGCAGCAGCGGCGGCAGCAGCAGCGGAGGTATGTCCTGTCTGTGCTCACAGCAAAGAGCACCCTGACCCTTTCTCTCATCCTACCCCTGGGCTCTGGGAATTTTTTGCACTCCCAGACTTCTTTAGGAGGGAGGTGAAGACAAGGAAATGGAACAGTAATCAAGCCTACAGTACAATGTGTTCAAGAGAGGAAGAGATGGGTGACCATACGACTTTTTAAGAGAGCCAGAAATGTGTGCCCTTTAACTGGCAGGCTGGCTTGTTAGATCAGTGCCTGGGGACAAACATCCGGTGCACTCCTTTCCTCTCTCTTCAACCCTTGGCAAAACACAGATGACTGTACCTTGCCTAGTCTGTCTCTCTGTCTGCAGCATGAGTCCCTTTCCTCTGGGCTCCAAGGGCATGGTGGGAAGAGCATAATGAGGGAAGCATCCTGAATTGTCTGAAGTCCTTTAGAACTAGTGACACGAACAACCAGCATGCTAGTCATGTGATCCCACATCACCCTCATCCTCTGGGGCCTCATTCTGACCTTCATCCTCATGGGACCTGGTCAGAGGGGCAGGGAGGAAGTCTTTTCTGGAGGGCTTGAGCTCTCTCTGCAGTCTTTTACCTGGAGGAAGTGGGAGGGGAGCCAGGTCTCCCTAGTAGGCCAAGTAAGGCCCTTCACTGAAGCGCCCACCACCATTCCATTTTAGACACCTCTCAAAATGTTACTCCCAAATCAGCCACCATGAGCCTGAGGACAAGAGAAGACTCCACCATTCTGCCCAGCCCTACGTCAGAGACGGTGCTCACTGTGGCTGCATTTGGTGAGAGGGAGGAGAAGATGGGGTGTGGCAGGGGGCCCCACCTTTGAACTGACTTGAATGCTGGGTCTGGAAACACAAGTTCAAATCTCACCCCTTTGTGCGAGGAGGGTTTGGCTGACAAGGCTTTGGTGGGAAAGAGCCTCCACTGACTCTCTAGTCAGTTCTGGGCTCTGCTAGGTTCCATGTTCTATGGGCGGATGGGGAAGGGCTGTGGAACCCACTCTGGCCAGGGCAGCAGGCTAAGAGCTCATTCACTCAGCAGAAAAGGTGAATTCAGAACTCCCTCTGCTCTGAAGCCTGTCTACATAGCACTTAGCTGGGAAGAGAATGTGAACTCCTGTCATCGCCTCGTGTCCCCTCCGCTGCTCCCCTCACCCACGCTTTGCCCTGTCCAGGTGTAATCAGCTTCATTGCCATCCTGGTGGTTGTGGTGATCATCCTGGTCGGTGTGGTCAGTCTAAGGTTTAAGTGTCGGAAGAACAAGGAATCTGAAGGTAAGTGCCTGACCCTCGGGGCCTCCCCTTGCCCCTCTTCCCTGAGGGACCCAGAGCTAGATACTGGGACTGACACCCAGCCTAGAGTTGAAGGAAAGAATCAGCACCATTAGATGAAATGGGAGTGTCCACTTGGGTGAACTTTGAGGGGCAGGTCAGGCTTTTGAGTAACAGCGTGTGACCCCCAATCTGTGCCTTTGAATTTTTCCAGATCCCCAGAAACCTGGGAGTTCGGGGATATCTGAAAGGTAAGACTGTCAGAGGTGTAAGTAGGAATCATCTATCTGACCTCTCAGTCTCCCCTCCAAGAGGGAACCAAAGATTCCTGCCTTCTACACACACACACACACACACACACACACACACACACACACACACACACGGAATCCTGACAGCCTCCACTGTGACCAGAGCTAGGGGAGGGCAGACAGGGGCAGACTTGAAAGGAAGCAATCAGGCGATGGGAGATGGACTGGGCTAAGCCCCTATTACCCTTTCATGACAAGTGTAGGAATTCAGATTCTAATATACTCCTTAAATAAGAAGATACTTATTTAAGGAACCATTTATTGAATGCCTTGTATGTGCCAAACCCTGTGGTAGATATTTGGTAATATCTCAAATTCTTAGAGTAATTCATCAAGACAGATATTTCTGCATTTTATACATTCAAAAATTGAGACTTAAGAGAAGTCGTAACTTGGTCAAGATCGCACAGGCGGTAGGTAGTAAAACAAAGATTTAAATACAAGTCTTTTGGGCTTCAAAACACACTCTCTGTTCATTATGACCCACCACCGAAACAAAGGTCTAAGTTTCAAGACCCCCGCACAGTTCCTTTGCCCCCACATTGCCCTCCCACTCCTGTCCATAACTGGTGTCCCCTCCCTACTCCTAGCTGCTCCACAGCCAATGGAGAGAAAGACAGCATCACCCTCATCTCCATGAAGAATATTAACATGAATAACAGCAAAGGAAGCCGCTCAGCAGAGAAGGTGAGTTTCTCCTGGTTCCTTCCTGTCTCCTTCCTCCTCCTCCTTCCTTCAGGCTCTTGTGCCTTAACCAGAAAGGAGATACTTTCAAAGACCCAAGCTCTTCTTTCCTCTGGCCTATTCTATTACCACTCCCAAGAAGTTCACTCTTCCTCATTAAGTATTTATTTTGCAGGTTCTTTAAAAGCAACTTTGAGTCCAAGGATGATGAAGCTGCCCTGTGACTGACTGTAAGGAGGAAGGCAACGGGAGCAGTAGAGGCAATAAACCACATATAAATTATTTTATTGTTTCACATCTACTCCCAGATCTAATGCATACTAACATTCCTCCAGATCTGGGAGCAAGCTACCAACATGAGAGGCTCTTTCCCTTAAGGACTACCATTCCAGAAACACAGCCAGTTCCTCCCACCTTCTCAAAGTCATAGGAAGGAGAAGTCTATAGAGCAAAAGCAAGGACAATGACAAAGTGGATTGGTCCTTTCTACTTGCCATTAAAATTATTTTCTGGCCTGCAGTTTCATTTCTTTTAAGGTCTATGCTCCCATGCACATTTCTTAACAGAACATTCTAGCAGCTCTGGGGTCTCCTTTTCTAGGCAAGGCTTGTTGCAAGGTTCTTCCCCTGTGTGGAGCTCTCTGAGAGACCTGGGAGGTGGAGAGAACTTTTTGTCAGGTCTGCCTCAGTCCATTTAGTTTATTAAGTAGGGACGAGGTGACTGACTAAAGTAACCACTCTAATAGAGGGAAGGGAAAAGGAGCTGTAAACAGTGACCAATCGTCACCAGTAAAGAAATACTGGATCTGAAGGTGAGATCATGGGAGGAACAATGCATTCTGACTAGAAAATGCCAGTGGTGAGAGCTGAATACTATAAGGGCAAATGTCCTCTGCCTGCCCCAGGGTAGACATGCCTCATCATGTTTCTAGCTATGGGAATAACACTGGGAAAGTGTTCACAGTGTGAAGCAAAGATAGGTCTATGATTTTAAATATGTTTTTACTGATTTTAGAGAGAGAGGAAGGGAGAGAGAAAGAGAGAAACATCAATGTGAGAGATAAACATCGATTGGTTGCCTCCCGTATGCACCCCAACATGGGATCGAGCCCATAACCTGGGTATGTGCCCTGACCAGGAATTGAACCAGTGACCTTTTGGTGCACAGGATGACTCTCAAACAACTGAGCCACACCAGTCAAGGCAGGTTTATAACTTTATAAAGCAAAAACCCACCACTTTACCCCATACAGCTTTATCTTAGTGTTCTAAAAATGAAAGATCACAAATAAGGTAAAGTCATTTAAAGAGAAGGAGGAAAAGAAAGCAGTTATTTGTTTTCTTAGTAATCTGTGTTTGAAAATAAATCTTGGGGAGAGTCAATGGAAGAGTCATCTGTGTACGTCTGCATGCAGTGTTTAACTTTATAAGCACCTGCTGGGCAAGCCTGTTTTCTTTTAAAGTGAGGTGACTGGACTACTTGCCTTTCCTGACTTTTCTGGTTCTTATGTTCTAAAGTCCTATAAACTCTATATGTAGGGAAAAATTAATCTTTTGAGTCAATATCGCTCTGGGTGGGAGCCAGAGACAAGTCTTAGGTGACTCTAGGCAAGTCTTTTACACTCTCTGTACTTAGAGTTCCCTGTGTATTCATGTATAAAGGAAGAATGATCCCTACCAGGACCTGTCTACCTCATAGGCTACTTAGTAGGTAAAATGGAATAGTAAATGTGGAGATACTTGGGAAGTAAAAGTACTAGCTGACATTTGTAGCAGAAAACATGGAGTACCACTGCCTAGATCCCACACTTCAGGATCATCGCACTTGCTCCCCCACTGCTGGGAGTGTTGGCAGCTAAGGGCTCATAGCTGGCTGATGACTGGTTGATGGGAGTGGGTGTGGGGATGAAGATCTGGACCTCTTGCCTCAGTTTCTCCCTCTGCCCCAATCCTGCCTCCTTTATGCCTCATAGATGTTCCCAGAAGCACTCACCAATAAACCGTCAGTATGCAAATCTCAGTGTCTTAGAGTCTATTTCCTGAGTACCCAACCCATGACAGCATTACTACGGCATTTCTAAAAATTAATTCAGATATATTTTATTTAAGCCACACTGCATAAAGTACATGGCTTCCTAGCCAGTTCCAGTACAAAAATCTATTATTAGGATAGTCTCCAGGTGACATAACAATGTCTAGAAGTACTAGGTTCTGTTTCAATTGTTATTCTGACTACCATGGGCACTTAGTTCAGCTGCTTATCATACTGGAGCAATTAGGTCAAGGACATGGGTTTCATTCAGTTCCTGTCTCCATTATAAGGCCACAATGTCCCCCTGACTCTGGACAATGTCCTGCAAATATGAGCTGTTAGTCATAATCTATTTTCATGTGGGGGATAAGGGGTGAACTGGTATTAACAAGACTGAAAGGCTTTTACCCTGAAACTGACACTGCAGTACCACATTAGCCATGTTGATATTCCAGCTGCTAAATAACTATCCTTTGGAAGGGGTCGAGGATGAATTCACTTAATGCTGAATTCTGCTCTCTAGCAAACTATATGAGAGGGGGTTCTGCTGTAGTACCCTGCTATTTATGCAAAAACAAGACCCTGCCTCTGACAGGAAACCCAAGTGCAGCCTTCTGCAGCCCCCAAAGCTTCCCTGAGACCATCTCTCTTCCTTAATGTCTAGACAACAGGATGGTGGCCGTTTACAAGACGGCTTCCTCCCTATTCTAACACAAGACTACATGGTCCCAAAGCAGGAGCAGGTGGTGGGGGAAGGGTGGCTGCTGTAGAGTGTCTTTCTTTCACTTCTCCCCACATCATTTGGGAGGGCAACCAGCAGACCAGTGCAGGTGCACAGTCCCAGTCGGACAGAGGGATCATTTACTCAGTATCTTTCTGCCAGGCCTGGATGGGGCAGCATCTAATCATATAGGGCACACAGCAAACCTCAGTATCACCAGCAAAAATTCACTACAGTTCAACAAGCATTTCTAAAAGTAAGTAGAGAAAACTGATAGAATTCTGAGGCTGGCTCTAGGTAAAATAGTTTAGTGTACAAAAAAATCATGGCAGGCCCCCTTGGCCTAGTTCCTGTACACAGTTCCCCAAAGCCAAGCTAGTACTACTTAATTCTATTTGAATCTGCTGGAAAACATTTGTGTCTGCTCAGCAGTACCCTGCTGGATTTGTGATGTCCTTTCTCACTTCCCACTTTCCTTTCCCTTAAATCCTTCCCAGTCGCTTTCTCACTCTTCCTGCTGTTACTTTCCTGAACCCTTTGAACCCACAGCTTCCTTTTACCAAACACAGAGACTGAATTTGACAGTGGGAATTATTTTCTTGAGTGGTTGGTGTGCTTACACAAAACCTGGCACAGAAGTGTTCTAAATGTTGGGGTTCTGAGTCAGTCTCGGTGATATAGAGTCAGAAAAATTCATCCACATGTGTTAGTTGAGGTGTAAATGAGCTGACAGGTACATTTGCACAGCAATATCTGAAAAGGGTGCAATATTGAACCTCTTTTCTTCTTTTCTTTTCTTTTTAACTGATATAGAGTAAATGAATTGTCTAGAAAAGAAGGGGGACATGAGGTTTCAGAGAACGATGGGAAAAGCTGTTTCCCAAATCTTGTCCAGCATTTTTTGTTGTTGTTGATAATACTCACCCGAGCACATTTTTTCCCATTGATTTTTAGAGAGAGTGGAAGGGAAGGAGGGAGGGGAAGAGAGAGAGAAACATCGATGTGAGAGAGACACATCAATTGGTTGCCTCCCACACATGCCCTGACCAGGGCCGGGGATCGAACCTGCAACCCAGGTACATGCCCTTGACTGAGAATTGAACCTGAGACCCCTCTAACCACTGAGCAATAGCGGCCATGGCTTGTCCAGCGTTCTTGAACCTGACCTCCACTCCTAAGTAGCCCCATAATTCATAGTATGGCTTTTCAATCCAATCACCCCCTACAGTGCTCTAGCACTCCCACCCTCAACTAGATACCTCTAACTTCATGCTACTATGACATCTCTGAGTATCTCTAGACCTCAGCCCTATGCCCCTGGACTCCAAGGCACACTCTACCTTTCCCTGTCCATTTTCTAGAGCAATCTGTCTAGTGTCCCAAAACTACCTAAAGGATGCTCCTGGTCAGGTTCCCCATCGACAGAGCACAAGTGGCTTCTTCAGAACCTAGGCTTCTGTGAGTGTACTGATGCTCATGTACCCCAGGGCCATGGCTACAGGGAAGGGATGGAACTGCATACTATTGAAGGCTTGTTCCTTTCAGTTTGAGTCTAGGCCTGACATCTCCATATCCCACCCCAACTGTCTAAGAGGCTACTGGTTAATACCATAATCGACATAACTGATTTGGTTTTCCTGGATAATATCTCAACGAATTCCAGGTAATTTTTTGTTTGAGGATGACTGTGATCACTTTTCACTTTTGCAGACCTGATCTCTGGCCATCCCAACTCACCTGCAGGCATAAATCAGTAAGAACACTGTACCGTCTACCTATGAAGAATTGGTTTTATTCTTTGCTAAAAGGCTCCATGCAAACCTGAGTGAGGGAAAGCAAGAATATTTCTTCATTTTCTTTTTACTAACCATTTAGGGCCTGGTCTTTCAGATAAAAGGGAATGGGCCAAGGAAACTACTGGCGTGAAAGAGAGGAGAAAAGTCTCAGAAGGGTCCTGGAGTAGGTTGGGATGAAGGATAAGAAACAGCAAAGGTAGGGGCTCTAAGGTTGACTCCAGTATGTACCTGACCTTTTCTTCTTTCTCTATCCCTGACCTCTAGTGGTCCCTCTAATGATGCTGCCTGAAGGGCTGGGGAAGAGGGGCATACCCAGACTGCCAAAACCACATAGATCTATCTCACTTTTCTACTTTTCCAGGCCCTTAAGTTTCCAGGGTTGGGATCGGCATCCCCAAAACCTGTCTCTAAGTCTCTAACAGGCATTAGTATATATGTTTGAATTTTTATTTATTGATCTCAAAGAGAGGGAGGGAGGGAAATGGGGGGGGGGGCATTGACTTGCTCTTCCACCCATTTATGCATTTACTGGTTTGATTCTTTTATGTGCCCTGACCTGGGATGGAACCTGAAGCCTTACCGACACTCTAACCAACTGAGTTATCCGGCCAGGGGGCATTAATGTATATTTTAAAACGACCACCCTGAGGAGAAAAATAGTCATTCCATCACGTTGTAGCCCACAGTTTGCAAAGACTTTCCCAGGCAGGATCTCATTACGCCTCCTTTAATGTCCCCACTGTTAGGCGGGGCGGAAGCCACTGTCCCCACCCCACAGATGAGCGCGGCCCACAGCGGCCAGGGTTTCCTGCTGTGCGCCCCCAGCCGCAGCAGTCACCTAGCAACAAGGCACTTCCACAGCCCGCGCTTCCGAAAGGGAACAACCGCTTAGGCCTCTGCATCTTCCACGGTCCCTCGCGCGGAGCCTCCCGGAAGTTGTAGTCCAATGTCCCGCAGCTTCAATGGGTTGAACTACAATGACCAGCATGCCCCGCGCTTCTTATCCCCCCTTTCCCCCCTCCCATCTTTTTCAGCCTCAGGCGCGGGGGAAGCTCGGTTGACCTGCTGACTGGGAATCAGAAATGGCACCTACTCTGGGCAGCGGGGAGCGCTGGACAGAAGGTACCAGGTCCTGGTCGTAGGGTGGAAAAGGCGGGGTTCGGCAGAGATCAGGGATGGGGACCTTGAAGGTACCCGGGTGGTAAGATCTGGGCCTGAGGTGAAGGATGGAGGCCTACGAGAAGATTTGAGCCTGAGTAGGGTTCTGGATGAGGTGGTGGACCCCCCAGGCCAGGGACCGGGGTCCAGACACCCGCAGCCCTGGCTCAAACAGAGGAACCGGCCAGGAGCCCAGAGTCACTGGTGACTTGTTGCCTCCAGCCCCCAGCCCCGCCCCGCCCAGGGCCCCGCCCAGGGCCCCCCAGCGGCTGTCAGATCTCACCCGCGACTGGGTGGCCAGAGGGTCAGCGGGCAATGCGGTCTCCTGCAAGGTTTCTTTCCTGGCCCTTACCCTCGCCTCCAAACTGGGCCGCCTGATGCTTGGTCTTGCTTGGTTTGCTCCTATCTCTGCAGCCCGCATCAGGACCCATAGGCCGGCTTTTTCTATCCTACAGTCAGGCAAAGAGTATTGATTCAATACCTATTCTGTACCCTGCATTATGCTGATCCTGCAGCAGGGATTTGACAGACGTGGGCCCCTAAGATCACAGAGCTCAGTTCACTGAGGGAGTCTGACAGGTAAACAGCTAATTACGAAACTGGTCCAGTAAGTCCTGGGCTATACACAGCAAGGTCTAGTTTTGGGAAGCAAATTGACAAAGCACCCAGCACAGCCTGGGTGTCAGAGAAGGCCTTATGGAGAATGTGTTATATATGATGACATAAAGAATAGTTGGAGTTAGTCAGGCTGACTTAAGGGAAAAATGTTGCAGGCAGAAGGAATACAGAAAAGAGAAAGCATTGCTGATCTTCAAGGAGTGTAGTGTAGCTATACCATAGACTGCTATCAAGCATGATTGAGAGATGAAGCTAGAGAGGCAGCCTGAGCCCATAAGAAATATGGACAAGAAGCAGTGTGTAGTCACTAAGGGATGTTAAGCAGGAGAAGAATGTTTTTAAAACCTTTGCCATATCCTTCAGATAGGACATGAGTAGTCTGTCTTCTTTGACTGGATTGGTATGGCCCTCTTTACATTCTCCAGGTGTTACGATTAATTGAATTCTCTCCCTTTTAACTACAATGTCTTTGTGGTCAGGAGTAGATCTTACCTGTATATCTCCTTGATCTATCTAACCAGTGTCTTGTGCATATTATTTCTATAATTGTTAGTTTAAAAGAATTGAATGCATCTCTACTTTAAATCTTAGTGGTGGGAGGCATTGCAACAAAAACTATAATTTTATGAGCAATGTCATTTCTGACCATGGACCACAGAGAAGTAGGCTTACCTCTGGGTTCCACTAAAGGCAAGGCATTGGGCAGATACCTTTTGAGCACCTTTTTTGACTCTGAGTCCAAATTATTTGTTGACTGACCACTGTAGGTATGGTGGACATTATTGTTTCATGTTTCTGGCACTATAAGATTTTCATGGTTACCTCCATATTTTCTGTATTGTTTTCTTTTTTTATTGAATGATTTTAGAGAGAAAGAAACATCAATTTGTTGTTCCATTTATTCATGCATTCATTGGTTGATTCTTGCATGTGCCCTGACCTGGGATCAAATCCACAACCTCAGCGTATCTGGAGGATGCTCTAACCAACTGAGCTACACAGCTAGGGCTTTTCTGTATTGTTTTCTCAAGGAAGATGTTTGTTCGTTTTTGTATGAATGCTTAAAAGTCAGCATGATGTCAGTAGCCTGGTCCTCACACTCACATACTCATGCCTACAAGTAGCCTCCCAGATAGCTAAGGCAGGTAGCAAAGTTTATTTGCAGATCAGACTGAGACCTAATGGAGGGGCGGTTGCTTTGCAGCTTACATTGATGCAGTTAGAAGAAACAAATACCCAGAAGACAGACCTCCTGAAAGTCATGATCCCTGTGGTTGCTGTAACTGCATGAAGGTGCAAAAGGAAAAGAAGTCTGAGAATGAGCGGAATCAGACCTGGCAGGGTGAGGGGAGTGCCACTTATACTGAGGAGCAGCTGCTTGGGGTACAAAGGTGAGTCTCTGATGGGACTGAGTGATTTTAAGTAGAGTGCCTGGCATAGACAATGTGCTATATAAGTATTGACTCCTATTATTATTTTATTTTTATTATTGAAGCACAATAGCTTCTTGGCCTCAAGGGCAGGCTAGGTGGAAGGGAAGTAGTAGTAGTACTGTAAGAGAGGCAGAGAAAATCAACTAGATATAACAGACATCTATACAACATTCTACCCCCAAACCGCAGAATACACATTCTTTTCAAGTATACATGGAACATTCCCCATTATTGACCATATGCTAGGTCATAAAACAAGTCTCAATAAATTTAAAAGGATTAAAATAATAGAGTGTATGTTCTCTGAAATCAACAACAGAAGGAAATTTGCAAAATTCACATGTGAAAATTAAACAACATATTCCTAAATAACAAATAGGCCACAGAAGAAATCACAAGGAAAATTAGAAAATACTTTGAGATGAATGAAAGTGAAAATATAACATACTGAAACATATGGGATATAGCTAAAGCAATACTTATAGCTATAAATATATATATATATATATATATAATTTTAAAGATCTCAAAGCAATAACCTAATCTTCTACCCTAACAAACTAAAAAAAGAAGAGCAAACTAATTCCAAGCAAGCAGAATGAAGGAAATAATATACAGTGGAAATAAGTGAAATATAGAAAAGCAATAAAGGCAACAAAACCAAAAGTTTTTTTTTTTAAAAATATCAACAAAATTGGCAAAGCTTTACCTGGCCCAACAATTTTCAACCTTTTTCATCTAATGATACACATGAACTAATTACTAAAATTCTGCGGCACAACAAAAAATGTATTTTTTACTGATCTGACAAATAAATAGGCATAATTTTGATTCATTCACACCAGTTGGCTACTGTTGTGTTGGCTGTTGTCATTTTTTTTTTATTTGACAGTCTAAAGGAAAACAGGTCAGTGCCCCTGACTAAATAGTCAGGCATTGCATATTTTAAAAATCCTTGTGGCACACTGTTTGAAAATCACTGATCTAGACTAAGCAAGAAAAAAAAGAGAGAATAGAAGGAGATCCAAGATGGTGGCAGATTGAGTGGAAGATACACTGACACTCTCCCAGAACCAAACTGGAATTACAACTAAAATATAGAAAAACCACCCTGAATAATCAACTGCAACTGAAGACGAGCTGGGGAGCACCCTCACAACCAAGGAGGAAAAGTGGAGACGGCATAGAAACTGGCAGGAAGTGCAGAGGCGCGACAGGGCTCGCTGGGCTCCCACAGGCAGCAGCTGAAGGTCCAGAGGAATATCTCAGCTGCTGGGGGGTTCCTACTAAGGACTCTGGGGTCTAAACCCCATGTTGGGCTCCCCAGCCCAGAGCATCAGAACTGAGAAATGTACCCATATAACATCTGACTGTGCAAAGCAGCCCGGTCTTTGTCTGCCAGTGAGAAACGGTTGGAAATACAGGCACCCTCTTAAAGAGCCGATGCACAAAGTTTTGTGTGCAGGGACTCACCTTGGGCTGTGGCAGAGGCAGAGTAGACTAGAGCAGTGTGAAGAGAATGCAAGGGGGCTGGCTGGGGGAATAGATCTCGGAAGGCACACATCTGGACCCCGGTGCTGAGTAATTTCCCCATACAGTAGAGAACATCTTTCTCAGGCAGACATTTACCTTCCAAGCAGCTTTTGCCTTGCAGGGGAAGCAATTGCCCTACCCTGCTGGAAAACCTCTGGCCCCACCCTGTAGAGTTTCTACAGCCTGAGGCTCATTAAAAACTGAGTAACAGCCTCTGGGTGCTTTGAGTCTTTGCCTGATTGGCTTCTGAACCCAAGGCTTGGAAAAGCAGACCTTGGTGTACATCTTGGTCCTGTCCAAACACACCCAGCCCCAGCAGAGGAAACAAGAAGCTGTGGAGTATGGAAAACTTCAAACAGGGTACTCAAGGCCAGTCATAAATAGCATCTGACATTGGCCTGCACCAGAGACCATCCAAAAGACTAGGAGTCCTAGCAGATCTACCTAATACTTAGAAACAAATCCAGACAGGCAGCAAAAATGGGGAGACAAAAAAACAAGCCCCAAATGAAAGAACAAAAGAATTCTCTAGAAGAGCTAAATAAAATGGAGATAAGCAATCTATTAGATATAGAGTTCAGAATACTGATCATAAATATGCTCAACAGCATGAAAAAAGATATAGAAACTATGAAGGAAATTAAGAATGACATAGTGAGAATTAAAAAAAAAAAAAAGGAAGGAATGAAGAGCAGATTAGAGGAAGCTGAGGATCAGATCAGTGAATTAGAAGAGAGGGAAGGCTTATAATTGGTAATATGTAATACTCCCCAAATTGATCAACAGATTCAACACATCCCTATCAAATTCCCAGTTGCCCTTTTTATAGAAATTGACAATCTGTTCCTAAAATTCATATGGAAATACAAGGGACCCAGAATAGCCAAAACAGTCTTGAAAAAGAACAAAGTTGAAGGACTCACATTTCCCAATTTCAAAACTTACTATAAAGCTATAGTAATTAAGACAGTATGGTCTAGGATAGGATAGATGTGTAGATCAATGGAATAGAATTGAGAGTCTAGAAATAAACCTTTATATTCGTGGGCAAGTGATTTTTGACAACAGTACCAAGACAATTTAATGGGGTAAAGAACTGTCTTTAACAAATGGTGTTGGGACAATTGGATAGTCACATACAAAAGAATGAACTTGGACCCCTTCTTCACACAAATACAAAAATGTACTCACAGACCTAATGTAAAACCTGGATGTAAGAGCTAAAACTATAAAACTCTTAGAAGAAAACATAAACTCTTAGAAGAAAACATAAGTCTTTGTGACATTGGATTAGTCAATGATTTCTTGATATGACACCCAAAGCACAAACAACAAAAGAAAAAAAATAGATAAATTGGATATTATCAAAATGTGAAACTTTTGTCCTTCAAAAGATACCATCAAGAAAGTGAAAAGTAAAAAAAAAAAAGTGAAAAGTCAATCCACAGTACAGAAGAAAATATTTTCAAATTATATATCTGATAAGGGACTGGTATCTAGAACATATAAAGTATTCTTACAACTCCACATTAAAAAGGCAATCCAATTGAAAAATGGGCAAAGGATCTGAATGGGTTTTCCTCCAAAGAAGACATACAAATGGCCAATAAGCACATGAAAAGTTGCTCAATATCATTAGTCATTAGGGAGATGCAAATCAAAGTCACAATGAGATAACATCCTATCTCAAATCCATTAGGATGGCTATAGTAGAAAAAAATGGACAATAACAATTATTAATGAGAATGCGGAGAAGTTGGAACCCTTGTACATTACTTGTAGGAATATAAAATGGTTCAGCCAGTTTGGAAAATAGCATGGCATTTCCTCAGAAGGTTAACCATATCATATGACCTAGCAACCCACTCCTAGGTGAACACTGAGAGAAATAAAACATAGCTCCACACAAAAACTTATATATGAATGTTCATACAGCATTATTCATAATGGCCCCAAAATAGAAACCACCTGGATGTCCAGTAACTGATGAATGGATAAACAAAGTGGGGGGGTATCCACACAGTGAATACTTTTTGGTAATCAAAAGGAATGAAGTACTGATACATGCTACAACATGAATGAACCTTGAACATTATGCTGGTAAAAGAAGCCAAACACAAGGGCACATATCATATAATTCCTTTTATATGAAATGTCCAGAATAGGCAAATTTATATGACAGGAAGTAGATTAGAGGTTGCCAGAGGTTGGGGAGTGGCGGAATGAGGGGTGACTGCTAATGAATATGGGATTTCTTATTGGGGTGATGAAAATGTTCCGGAATTAGATAGCAATGATGAATACACAACTCTAGATAGACTAAAAAAAAAAACCAAAAAACACTGAATTGTACATTTTAAAAGAGTGAACTTTGTGATATGTGAATTATAGCTTAATAAAGCTGTTATTTATAAAAGAGAGAGAGGAAGAGGCAGAGAAGTATCTACTACGGAAGCAGAGGTTGGAAACTGGGCTAGGGATCCAAAGGATCCCTATGGGTAGCTCTTGGGGAAGGGCCCTGACTGACATTCCAGACCCCGCATTATAGTCCAGCCTGTGTTACTTCCTCTTCAACAAGGCTCTGCCTGCCTAACCGAATTGTGTAGTAGCAAGACTGGAGATATTGTAAACGCCCATCAGTAGGGGATGTATGTGCATCAGTAAAATGCAATAATGTGCAGCTTTTTAAAAGAATGAGGTAGATGCATAATACTAGTCAATATTTATGTAATGTCAGATGCTATCAAGCACTTTGGTGAATACTTCATTTAATCATAACAACTCTGTGAAAACAGTCATCATGTTTAGCCCATTTCAGAAGACTACACTAAGGCAAAGAGGTTAGTTACACAGCAAGATCAGATCCCAGCCAAGGCATTTTGATTCCAGAGTTCATGCTCTAGTCCAGCAGTTCTCAAAGTGTGGCTTGGGAACTCCAAGACCCTTCTGGGGGTCTGTGCAAGTTTAAAACTATTCTTATAATAATACAAACATTATTTGCCTTTTTCATTCTCATTTTCTCAGGATTGTACAGTGGAGTTTTTGAGAGACTACCTGATAGTAATTATATCATCACTCTGTTTAAAAAGTTTTTGTTTTCATTTCTAGTATGGTAAATATTGATAGATAAACTCACATGAACAAAAGCTCTTTGGGGGTCTTCAATAATTTTTAAGATTATAAAAAATTTCTGAGTTTATAAAGTTCAGAACTGCCACTGTAGCCTAAACTATTATCCTATACTGCTCATCTCTATTTGTTATGGATCAATCTCTAAGAAAAATTGTTTGTTTAAAAAAGCAAGATATAGAAAGGTGATTATAGTTTAGAAAGGTGATTATAATTACCTAAAAGCTGCCATTTAGGTAAGAAAAAAACAGAGAGGCCTCTATACATGTACTCACTCTGTGCATAGGATTCAAAGAAAACTTTTAACAGTGGTTGTGCTTAGGGTGGGAGACTGGAGGACAGGGAATGGGGAAGCAGGAAAACTTTTCATTGTGTATAGTTTAGTACTGTTGGATATTTTTCTTCTACCATGTGTATATATTAACCTTTAAAAACAAAGTTTAAAAAGATAGCCATAAGAAAAGAGAGAGAAAAAAATATATAAACAAATAGGGTGGTTAGGTGTTTCTTGAAGCTTTGGTGTCCTGTGGTTCACTCTCAGGACCTCAGCCTGCTCCATGATAGTAAGGATTAGCATGCTTGCTCTACTCACTTGCAGGAGTATAGAAAGAGTAAAATATTAGATGTAAAAATACTTTGAAAGGCATTGAGTTCTCAGTGGGACAGTTAATGACTGAATGTTTCATTAATGTGTTCAGCAATTTTTTAAAGTTTATTTTGGGGCTCACAGATTGGAGGGAGGATCAGTGTACTATTTTGCAGTTAATTGTTTTAAAAAGGGGGCTTTTATAGACATACGTGTTTCTGATATGTGTTTTTAGGATCAAGAAATGCAGAAATTACTATGAAATTCTTGGAGTTTCTCGAGATGCCAGTGATGAAGAGCTTAAGAAAGCTTACCGAAAACTTGCCCTGAAATTTCACCCTGACAAGAACTGTGCTCCTGGAGCAACAGATGCTTTCAAAGGTCTGATCCTGAACTTAATTCTGCCCTTCTTGTGATGTTCAGTCATAACAAATTGTTTTCAGCCTCCTCTGTAATTGTTTTCTAAAGCCATAAGCAGGTCTTTTTCCCCTGCCACACCTCTTAAATAGTGATTATCAGCATAGCTTCCTTCTGTCTTCTTTCACTTCACCTTAATTTCTTTTGGAAAAAATATTTTATTTCTCTGTAATTCCTTTTGGAATCTTTTATCCATTAATTCAGCAAATATTTATTGATGATCTATGTGCCAGGTGCCATGGTGAATAAAAGACATGATTCCTCTTGTGGAGGCCATGTCGAAGTAGGGCCTAGACAGCATTCCTAAACTTCTCTGACCGTGGTACTCTTCGTTCATGAAACCTCTACTGTTAATATGTTCATATGAAAAATATGTGTAATCACCCTGGCCGGGTGTGAACAGTGGTTAGAGCGTCAGCTCTCAGACCAAAGGGTTGCAGATTCGATTCCCAGTCAAGGGCACATACCTGGGTTGCAGATTCGATCCCAGGTCCAGGTCAGGGCCAGTGAGGGATGCATACAATCGATGTGTCTCTCATATCGATGTTTCTCTCTCTATCTTTCTCTGTCTCTCTCTCCCCCTCTTCCCTCCCTTTCACCCTCTGTAAAAAATTCAATGGCAAAAAGTATCCTTGGGTGAGGATTAAAGGAAGGAGGGAGGAAGGAAGGAAGGAAGGAAGGGAGGGAGGGAG